AAGGTTGTCCTCAGTACCGGTTTGAGACAGATACCTTAAGAACTCTGTTGCTTTGCTATCAAACATTGAATAATATTGAATAGTTTTAGATTTGACTGATTATAAGTGTATGGAGTCCACATCTTGTGTCAGGGTTTCATGGTAACATATCGCCAAAACTGAACGGTCATTGATACGTAAATTAGATATTCCTCACAAATAGGGATATTCAAAAAAATAATCTTAAAGTGTCCTTCAATCTGTCTGTTCATAATAACTGTATCCTGTCACAGACACTTGGGGTTTGGAGCTCAAAATGCCTTTAAAATCCAAATAAAAAACATATTTGTCAATCCCAGCACATGTACTGATTATATATACTGTAAAACACTTATTTTTCGCGAGAACCTTATTTCGCGAATTTGAGGCAAAATGTCCAAAATAATTATTTCGCGCCAACATGAATTCGCGTCTTCTTGAAAAATGTGAAACCAGAAACCCAATGTCATTCTGATATTTTCTGTCCTGTCCGTTCACTAACTTTGCGTCGTTTATTGTGCGACGAATGCATTGATATATGTACCGATTTTTCTGATAGCTTGCTAATCTCCTTGTTAAGTGAAACCGTCTGGCTAAAAATATATCAATAAAGTTTGATAATTATTTGATATGTGTTCACTCTGTTTGTCATGTATTGTCCCTGATTATACTCCGCGCCTCTAGCATTGTTACTACCACTGATTAGCCATTCAAAGGCAAACAGAGGAAAATCAATTAAAAGGTACTGTAATTTGCCTAACCTGTAGTAAACGATTATGTTTACCCTCCGGCTTAAACTGTAGTTCAATACAATAGGATACAATAAATAGAAATGTTACAAACAACTCGGAGGTGCTAAAGTATTTGTACCAAATACCAAAACAGTTATTCTGAAAATCGTATTTTATGGGTTTTTTTTCAGGTACATTAAGAAGGTGATTGTGACGCATTATTTTGTTTATACTTAATTATAGTGCAAGTCACAGTTACCTTCCGTGACAAAGGTAATATCCAGCGAAGAAGTTTTTTCCAATTCCTCAATTACATGTAAATATTTCATACTAGTAATCTGTTCGATATGTATGTGCTGCAACACTTGAATAGCTACATGATGTAACTAGAACTGGTTTCGATACTTTCCGGCAGATATATATTCATGTGTACGCATTTTCGGATAGTGTTCATTTTCGGACAAGTGTATAGACAAAGTGAAATATTCGCGAGAAATATGAATTCGCGCCTTAGAAAACTCGCGAATATTAGCGAAAAATAAATTCTTCGCGATTAATAAGTGTTTTACAGTATATAAAAAAAACTGAATATAAGCTGTTTCGAAAAAAATCATATTTCAACATCTATAATAATTCTATTATAGATGTTGAAATATGAAATTTTTTCAAAATGGCTGATATTCAGTTTTTAGCTCACCTGGGCATATGCTCAGGGTGAGCTTTCAGGATCACTCTTCATCCGTCCTCTGTCGTCCGTTGTCCGTTCACACTTTTCAAACAACATCTCCTCTGAAACCATAAGGCAGATCATAATTAAACTTCACAGGGATGTTCCTTGTGTGAAGCCTTAACAAAGTAGTTCAAAGAATTCCATTCCATGCAGAACTCTGGTTGCCTTGGCAACCAAAATAAAAAAAACTTTAAACATCTTCTTCTAAAAAACCCAAAGAGCTAGAGCTTAGATATTTGGCATGAAACATCTTCTAGTGATTGTCTACCAAGAGTGTTCAAATAACAGCCCTGGGATCAAAATTGGCCCGCCCCAGGGGGTCATTGATTTTCCCTATATGCATATAGTAAAAACTTAAAAAAATCTTCTTTTAAAGAAAGCTAAGATATTAAGCACAAAACATCTTCTAATGAGTGTCTACCAACTTTGATCAAATAAAAGCCCTTGGGTCAAAATTGGCTCCGCCCCTGGGGGTCATTGATTTTCCCTATATGCATATAGTAAAAACTTAAAAAATCTTCTTTGAAAAAAACCAATTAGCTAGAGTTTAGATACTAAGCATGAAACATCTTCTAGTGAGTGTCTACCAACTTTGTTCAAATAAAAGCCCTGGGGTCAAAATTGGCCCCGCCCCAGCTGACATTTATTTTCTTTATATGTGTATAGCAAAAACTTAAAAGTCTTCTTTGAAAAAACACGAATAGCCAGAGTTTAGATATTAAGCATGAAACATTTTCTAGTTAGTGTCTACAAAGATTGTTCAAATAAAAGCCCTTGGGTCTAAACTGGCCCTGCCCCAGGTGTGTCATTGTTTTTAACTATATGTGTAGAGAAAAAAACTTGACCAGCTAGACCTTAGATGTTAAGCATGAAATATCTTCTAATGGGTGTCTACCAAGTTTGCTCAAATAAAAGCCCTGGGGTTTAAACTGGTCCCGCTCTGGGGGCCTATATACAGGTGAGCGACTTCAGGGCCATCATGGCCCTCTCGTTTTTGATATGTATGTGATCAGTACATGTGCTGGGATTGACAATTATGCATTTTATTTGGATTTTAAAGGTGTTTTGAGCTCCAAACCCCAAGTGTCTGACTGTTTCCTGTGATCATTTTTAAAGAGTTTTACCAACAAATTTTCTTAAAATGAGAAAAATTGAAACATAAGTGAATGGCCAAATGGCCCTTCAGAATGTTGATTGGGTTCTAACCCTTAGGGGACATATGCTTGCAATACTATGATTATAATTGCTTGTTAGTCCCCTACCGGTTTACCGGAGGGGACTTTAGGTTTACCCTCCGTCCGTCTGTCCGTCCGAGCATACATTTGATATTTATGAGCTTCATTCCGTAGTTAAATAAAGAACAAAAGCTCATAAAATTCAAATTAAGAGCTATTTTTTTGATTTTATGAGCTGATTTTGCTTATGGACTTTGGTCCAGGTGTAGTTTATGAGCTGACTTACCTCTTAAATATCAAAAGTTGGTACTTCCGTCCGTCTGTCCGTCCGTCCGTCCACAAAAACTGGATCCCGCGATAACGCAAAAAGTACTGAAAATATTTTAATGAAACTTGATATATGGATCAATGGCAGTATGGAGATTATGCACGTCTTTTTCTTTTCTTCCTTTGTTGAAAATTCTGGTTGCTATGGCAACAAATACACTGAAAATATGGCAAATTTTACAAAAAAACCTGGATCCCGCGATAACGCAAAAAGTACTGAAAATATTTTAATGAAACTTGATATATGGATAGATGGCAGTATGGAGATTATGCACGTCTTTTTCTTTTCTTCCTATGTTGAAAATTCTGGTTGCTATGGCAACAAATAGACTGAAAATATGGCAAATTTTACACATAACCTGGATCCAGTGATAACACAAAAAGTACTGAAAATATGTTTATGAAACTTGACATATGGGTAGATGGCAGTATGGAAATTATGCACATCCTTTTTTATCTTCCTATGTTGAAAATTCTGGTTGCTATGGCAACAAATAGACTGAATTTCAAGATTTCTGATTCTAGTTTTTAAGTTTTTTCACTATAAGTTCTTTATTTCTTAAGGTATTTTCTTCAAACTTTAAATATAAGTTGCTTGTCATCAACCACATCATATGTGACAAGGTTTACAACTCTAGCACAAAATTTATCAGAATTACCTGCCTTGAACTTAAAATTTTCATGAAAAAAACATTGTTTTTTTTGTAATAACTTCTTTTTCTGAATGTATCTACTTCAAACTTCATATAAATGTTTCTTATTGTCACTCAACATTTGTGAGTGTTCAATGCTCTAGCAAGACTATTTCCAGAATTATGCCCCTTTTAAACTTAGAATTTTTTTTGAGAAATTGGTAATTTTTACTCCAACTTCTTCAATCATGATAGGATTTTGAAAATGTTATATTTTGATAACAGGGATGTTTAAAAAATAACTTTAGAGTGTCCTTCAGTCCGTCTGTCTGTACATAAAAACTGTTTCCTGTGATCACTTTTCAAGAACTTTTTCAACAAATTTACTTAAAATAGGAACCTAAGTGAATGGCCAATGGCCCTTCAGAATGTTGCTTGGGCTCTTACCGGTATGGCACTTATGGATTGCTTGCAATACTATGATAATTGCTTGTTTTAATTGTTTTGTATTCCTTTACTGCGCCCAGTATTTAACCCATTACTTCATGAGCATTTTGTGAAAAATGGCTGTTTTCATTGAAAAGTCCCCCATTACAAGTTCAAATTGCTATAATACTATAAAAACTGCTTCAACACTAATCAAACTTGGCATAAATGTTGACTGGACCATTGTCCTTGCAACAACATGCTCAGGCTCAAATTTTCTGTTACCATGGCAACGAGGGGACATCTCAAAATTGCCAAAAATCTCTATTTTGCCTTGATTTTTTCCATCAAAATTGATTTCAAAGTGCTGCAACTTCTCAATGGATTGAGATAGAGTCAAATGCTTTTCAGCGTTGGTTACACGTTACCTTATGATCAATCTTGGGTCATTTACAGCCTCTCACAAGTCGAAATTTTCTTGGCGATGAGGGGGACTCCGCCCCCCTTCAAAGCCCCCCCAAACAGAAGGGGGCACATCCCCCTTCTGGCAACCCCCTGATGTATCTTTTGGTTGGGGGGCCGCACCAAAAAAGAGGTCACTTTTTTTAACAACATTTCTCAAACAAAAACAAGTGTTTGGAGCCTAAATAAGGCATTTTTTCATCATTTGAGGCAACAAAAAGGGGGGGGGGGGGTGAAAAAGGCGTGTATATGAAGTAATGGGTTAATAAGTTGTGGCTGTCTCCTCTGAGAGCTGTTAGTTTAATTTATGATTTATTTTTCTCTTTAAGCAGTTATCTTTAAACATTACATGACTTGTATGCTTTTCACATTATTTTTAGTGTATGTTTCATTCATAGAAGTTACAGCATGTATGCCCTGTTGCAAAATGTTATTTATAATATGATGATTTTATGTTGTTTTGAATCATCGCCATTTATTTTGATTTTTCCATTTTCAGGTTCTAAAGTGTATAAAGTGGATCATTATAGTGGAAGTTTAGGTGGAGAATCAAGGCTTACTTTAATTGGGAAAGGTAGGTTCAGCAATTTTTTTGAAGCATACAATAAAGTTCTGAGAAAGAATAAACAGATATATGTATGATTTTGATCATTGTTATTTTAGATAAATTAATTTGGTGTTGAGTTTTCTCGGACATTGTGATAAAATTTTCTAAACAAACGTAACTTAATCACTGAGTGTTGCTAAAGTCAACACTATATTTTAAATATAGTGTTGACTTTAGCAACACTCAGTGATTAAGCCACTTGAAAGCCTGTATTTATCATCTGATGATATGCTTTTAACATGTTTAAGTTACAAACAAAAGCAAGTAATTATTATAAAAGTAAGCAATTTAATTCATAATTATGCAAGTAATTATTATAAAAGTAACATTAATTTGAAACTTCATCTGTTTAAATAATAAATTGTCAGGTCGTTAAGTGGAGGTCTAGTTATTCCTGCTCGTGCCCATAACTAGCATTTCATTACTTTGATTATGTATTAACTATAATATATTCCTTTCAGAATCAACACATATTTCAATATATATTTCAATTATTATTAGCTCTTTGGTGGTTTATGGGTATATATCCGTAAAATATAAAACTGAAACCATCGTAATGATGTGACGTCATAAATAATGCAGGTTGTATTATAATTTGACATGCTTTTCAATTAGTATAAAGGTTTCTGTGCACCCACTTTAGGGGGGGGGGGGGAGGCATTTAGATTTACCCTTGTCCTCCGTTCTCTTTTGTGTCTCACATAACTCAAAAAGTATTTGACCTAGAGTCATGAAACTTTACAGGAATGTTAATCAGCATGTGTAGTTATGCATTTGGGTATTTTCGTATGGATTCATTTAGTATTTTAGAGTAATTGCCCTTGACTTTTGCAATTTTGAACTTGTGTTGCATGTTACTCAAAAAGGCTTTGACATAGTGTCATGAAACTTTACAGGAATGTTGATTAGTGTGTGTAGTTGTGCACCTGGGTATTTTTGTATGAATTTATTTAGTATCTTAAGAGTTATTGCCCTTGACTTAGTAAATTTTGCAATTTTCAACTTGTGTCGCATGTAACTCAAAAAGGATTTGACCTAGAGTCATGAAACTTTACAGGAATGTTGATCAGTGTGTGTAGTTGTGCACCTGGGTATTTTTGTATGAATTTATTTAGTATCTTAAGAGTTATTGCCCTTGACTTAGTAAATTTTGCAATTTTCAACTTGTGTCGCATGTAACTCAAAAAGGATTTGACCTAGAGTCATGAAATTTTACAGGATTGTTGATCAGCATGTGTAGTTGTGCACCTGGGTATTTTTGTCTGGATTTATTTAGTATTTTTAGAGTTATTGCTTTTGACTTAGAGAATGCTTGCAATTTTCAACTTGTGTCGCTTTTAACTCAAAAAGGATTTGACATAGAGTCATGAAACCTCACGGGAATATTGCTCCGCATATGTAGTTGTTCACCTTGGGTTTGGCTTGTGGATTTATCCAGTATTTGTAGAGTTATTGCCCTTGACTTAGTAAAAACCGTTTCATTATGTTGTGTTATTTGTTCCTCGAGTGGGAGTTAGAATCAACCAACTTTACAGGAATAATGATCAACATCACTAAATTACAGGAATAATGATCAACATCACTGTGAAGCTATGCACCTTATATCAAAATTATAGCTTTTGGGTCAAAATGTGCCCTGTTCCAGGGAGGCATAGGTTTTTTCTTATGTGTATATATAGTAAAAACATGTCTTCTCTTAAACAACAAGAGATAAGACTAGTTTTTATGCCAACGCAGCATCTGCGATTCAGTGGCATAATGTAGCGATTCACCTGTGTGTATTTATGTGATTCCTAAATAAGTTTACAATCTTTTACACAACACGAGATACTTAAATAAGGTTTTTAGCTTTTAAGGGAGTTTGTCTTTTTAGCTCACCTGTCACAAAGTGACAGGGTGAGCTTTTGTGATCGCTTTTCTTCCGGCGTCCGTCGTCCGTAAACTTTTACTTTAAATGACATCTCCTCATAAACCACAAGGCCAATTTCATCCAAACTTCACAGGAATGTTCCTTTGGTGGTCACCTTTAAAAATTGTTCAAAGAATTTAATTCCATGCAGAACTCTGGTTGCCATGGCAACCGAAAGAAAAAACTTTAAATATCTTCTTTAAAAAAACCATAAGAGCTAGAGCTTAGATATTTGGCATGAAACATCTTCTAGTGAGTGTCTACCAAGTTTGTTCAAATAAAAGCCCTGGGGTCAAAATTGGCCCGCCCCGGGGGGTCATTGATTTTCCCTATATGCATATAGTAAAAACTTAAAAAATCTTCTTTAAAAGAACTCAAAGAGCTATGGCTAAGATATTGAGCATCAAACATGTTCTAATAGGTGTCTACCAAGTTTGTTTCAAAGAAAAGCCCTGGGGTCAAAATTGGCCCCGCCCCAGGGGGTCATTGATTTTCCCTATATGCATATAGTAAAAACTTAAAAAAAGCTTCTTTTAAAGAACCAAAACGAGTTAGAGCTAAGATATTTAGCATTAAACATGTTCTAATAAGTGTCTACCAAGTTTGTTCAAATAAAAGCCCTTGGGTCAAAATTGACCCCCCCCGGGGGTCATTGATTTTCCCTATATATGCATATAGTAAAAACTTAAAAAATCTTCTTTTAAAGAACTCAAAGAGGCTATGGTTAAGATATTAAGCATCAAACATGTTCTAATAGGTGTCTACCAAGTTTGTTCAAATAAAAGCCCTGGGGTCAAAATTGGCCCCGCCCCGGGGGTCATTGATTTTCCTTATATGTGTATAGCAAAAACTTAAAAAATCTTTTTTTGAAAAAACCCAAATAGCTAGAGTTAAGATATTAAGCATGAAACATCTTTTAGTGAGTGTCTACAAAGTTTGTTCAAATAAAAGACCTGGGGTCAAAATTGACCCCGCCCCGGGGTCATTGATTTTCCTTATATGTGTATAGCAAAAACTTAAAATCTTTCTTTGAAAAAACCCAAATAGCTAGAGTTTAGATATAAAGCATGAGACATATTCTAGTAAGTGTCTACAAAGTTTGTTCAAATAAAAAACCCTGGGGTCATAACTGGCCCGGCCCAGGGGTGTCATTGTTTTTAACTATATGTGTATAGTAAAAACTTTAAAAAAATCTTCTTTTAATAGCCCAATGAGCTAGAGCTTAGATGTTAAGCATGAAACATCTTCTTATGGGTGTCTACCAAGTTTGTGCAAATAAAAGCCCTTTGGTAAATTGGCCCTGCAACGTTTGGGGGGGGGGGGGGGTTGGGGGGGCCTATATACAGGTGAGCGACCTCAGGGCCATCATGGCCCTCTTTGTTCAGAGATATACTGTTCAGCAATAATCACATTCAAAATCAAATGCTGCAACTTGTTCATCAGACATTTCAGCCATATTAACATAATTATGTTACACAAGCGCGATATACGAGCCTTGGACACTGAGTACACCATACCCATTTTGATATGTCGTCGTCAAATGGGCATCTACATTTAGCACAAACACTTCTATCTATTGGGACTTCAACCTCAGAAGCATCTGATAAAGCTATGCTGTTCTCATCAGAAGGAGAGGAATTGACGGTGACGTTTTTCAAGAGCTTCCAATATTTTTTTTTCTCCTTCTTCTGTTGTTCTTTTATCTGTCTTTTTTCTTCACTTTCTTTCTGCTTTTGCTGCTTCAGTTTTTTTTTTCATTTGGTTTTTGTTCTCTTTGCTGTTTTCTTTTCATTTTTGTCTGTTCTAACTTCATCTTCTGTTTTATTAATTCTTGTAATTTTTGTCTGGTTATTGCTTTAAGCATATGTTGCTAGGTTGACTATTGTTAACCTTGACTTTGGCGAAGGGGACTTTTAAGATTTGAATCAAAAGATGGTGAAACTTTTGGGTCACTAACACCACTTTATACACAAGGTAATGCACATTCCTGTCGATTGTTATTAATCATGTCAGACTTGGGGCATGGTATTATAGCTGGAGGTTCAACATTTAATTTTACTGGCGATGTTGGATTATCGATAGCAGGTTGCACATAGATGTTTTGTGTCACATCGGATGAAGTTAGATTAGATACAAGCAAATCAGAATCAGACAGTACTTGGGTGGCTAAGATGCTATTCGTTGTGGATGGAGATGATGTAGGCTTATCAGTAGAAGTTTGCATTTGAATGTCTGAGATACCCTGTGATTTAGGCATTTTATCATCAATTACTGTTGATGCGAAGACTTGGCTTGGGCAAAGTTTTAGCGTCAAAATTACATGAGACTCATCTAGTGGAAATAATCCTTCATCTCAGAATCCTTTTACGACAACATCAGTTGTTGTTACCCTTTTCCATGCGTTTTTAAAAATGGATGCAAATTTCTGTTTAGTTACAAAATCTCTGATATTCTCTAACTGAAAATCTCTGGCCGCCTGTTTCCATGATCCTTTCAAGGCACTAAAAAGTTTCAAATTGCACAGCTGGAGAAGATGCGAGGCATGTTCTAAAAGACAATAAAGGACAATGTCATGCGCTTTGCATAATTTACTGACAGATTGAGATGTTTAGTATGCCAGTCAAGGAAAAGAACAATAGGTTTTTTTACTCCCTGAGATTTAACAGCTGGAATGGAGGTGTCCTTAATCCATGTATAAAAAATCTCCGAGTCCGTCTAGCCGTTGTCACTCCCCCCAAAAACAGCCTCAGGAAAATTTTCAAGTGGGTTTTGATGGAACCTTTGCCCCTGGAAAACTATTATTAATCGATACCTCATCAAGATGTAAAGTTATGAACGTTAATGTATGCTTTTATACCCAGTAAACCGATCATTCTTACCCTCCTTTGATGGAGGTATTTACAAGCTTGTTCTTTTTTCCAAGTTGCTGGGTGTGCGTTTCTGCAATTTCAGATTATCGTTTCACAAATGCATACCAAACCAATCTTTACCTGGTCTGTTATCCCCCAGTAAAAAGGATTTTTGCGACAATCGTCATTTCCATTACTTTCTTTACCAATGTCCAACAATTCATTTCTGGTCCGGTCCAAAAGCCAATGCGGGGCCCATGTGTATTGTCCAGTCAACGATCGTTTCTTTTCCTCGGCTGCAGTAAGAACAGTTTTCAATATTTGAGCTAATTTGGAGTCCTATTGTTGACTTTGTCAAACAAAGTTGATCGTCGGACTTCATACGCTCTTGCTGATGCCCTGAGGGCCATTGAACTGGACTGGACTGCCGCAACAGCGTTATTCATGGCAATCTGGTCATACATCCGTTTCTTTTTACCAATTTGGTGACTCATCTAAAGTTAACAAAAATATTGAATACACATCTGTGTCTGTTAGATATTAAAGTGTTCCTACATTTATATATCTTATTATTGATTTGTTTGTTTATTATTTATTTATTTTGGATTTATTTATTTATCTTTTCAATATACTATTTTATTTATTTATATTTATTTAGATCTTTATATTTAGATTTATTTAGATTTATTATTTAAAAATATTTCAACATACAAATTTATCTATTTGAATTTGTCTACCTGTAAAACATCAATTATCTAATAATGTGTTAAATATAGTAATAACTCAATTTACTCATTTATTTATTCAGTTATTGATTGATTGATTGATTGATTAATTGATTAATTAATTAAATAATCAAAGGCTAGTTGCTTATTTATTTATTCAATTAATCAATCAATAACTTAAGCATCAATCAAAATTAATGATACATTGGGATTAAACCTTGTTGCATTATAGTGTCCGATTAAACCCAACTTATTATACTTTTCATTTGACAATAATCGGACAACACGTTTGTAAACAATTGAGTTGTGTAAACATTTTTATGAGTGCCCACGGGAAATAGCATGACTATAAAAATGTGGGTGGGGACATTGACAAAATGCCTAAAAATGCTTTTTTAAAATCACATTTTCCTTAATCACAAACCATGCCAGACCTAAATAAAATTGTAATTCTTACCTGCTTGGTGTTCAAAGTTGTGTTGTTTAAGTAAAAAAGCTATAGAACGTGCTTGATGTACAGTTTTAAAGTTCGCGCGTTGCAAACTACCTATTTATTATATTACACAATGTTAAAGAGGAGAAACAGACACCGTCCGAGTAGACACGACGACTGATTAGATCCGAACCCGCTCTATACACAATATAACTACTATCAAATGCAAAAACAATTAAGTAGAAAGCTACAAGCTTTTTTAGAAACTCTCTCCTTAATTAGATCAGTTGTATAAACATAATTTTATTATAAGACAATGGAACAATTAACTATGATAACTCTAGATTTAAGTTCATTCATGTCTTCCATAATGGAATAATTAAATGGCGATGGCCCTTCAGAAGGTTGCTTGGGTTCTAACCTGTACAGGACTTTTGTATAAGCTTGCAATACTTTGATTGTTGCTTGTTATATAAATGATATCTACGCTAGACTTAAGATAATTGTTCTTTGTCATTTCTCTAGACTTTAGATAATTGTTATTTGCCATTGTATACTCTAGACTTGACATAATTGTTCTTTGTCATTACTCTAGACTTTACATAATTGTTATTTGTCATTACTCTAAACTTTAGATAATTTGTTCTTTGTCATTACTCTAGACTTGACATAATTGTTCTTTGTCATTACTCATATCATGCATGACAAGGTTCATAACTCTAGCATCTTTATATTTGAGGAGTTATTTCCTCTTTGAACTGATTATCTTACTTTGAAAGACTTAAAATTCTTTTTGCTAACATCATTTTACCTACAGAAAGGATTGATCTCAGATTCCAAATTGTTGTCTTTTCTATTAGAGCATAGAAATGTCTGTTTAACTTTCATACTTATTTATGATGCAAATATGAGCTGCGTCATGACAAAACCAACATAGTGGGTTTGCGACCAGCATGGATCCAGACCAGCCTTACCAACTCTATTACAAGTAGAGAAACTGATAGCGAACAGCATGGATCCTGATCAGACTGCACAGATGCGCAGGCTAGTCTAGATCCATGCTGGTTGCAAACCAATTATGTTCGTTTTGTCATGAAGCGGCTCATATATTGAAAGTTTGAATACTTTCTTATTATACTGATACAGAAATATACTTATATCTTAATAGAATTTTTCATTGTTTTGTTTTCTTTTAATGCGACCAATATTTATTTAATAAGTTGAGCATCTCTGTCTTCTCTTACAGCTCTTGTCTTCCTTGTATTTGTCAGGGCATTTTTTCCTTCTATAACACGGACGGATATTCAGCCCTTTCTCATTTCAAAAATTGCACTTTTTTTTAGAAAGCAGGGGAAAGAAAATCACAATTTCAAAAGAGATTTCACAAAATATCAGAACTTTGTCTTCAAAATTCCTTGTTTACTTTGGGTAAAACTTGATTATCGCCACTTGTTTACCATTAAAGTATCGACTAAAGTAGATTTTACACAGGCCAGAAATAATCAATCTTTCATCGCATTCACCATTTCCGGTTTTAAAATGTCACAAAAGGCAAATATTATGTCATGTTTTCTCAATTTTTTGACATAATGCTTTTTTTATGAATCCCCCTATATAATGGCTGGGGCATATAGTGTAACCATGTTACATCCTTTGGTCATTCCCTCATTCTGTCATTCTGTCATCATCAGTTCTGTTCATTATCTTTGTAACATTGGAAAATATTCAACTCAAATTCGAATTTGGTCATGGTTCGATGATTTTTGAAAGAGTTATGCCCCTTTTACTTTGAAAATAATACAAAATTTTCAGTTTCCGTTCATTATCTCCCCAACAGTATCACACATTCAACTCAAACTTGACATATGCATACGTCAAAGAATTGCACAGGTCAAGTTTGAATTTGGTCAAAATTCAATGATTTTTGGCGGAGTTATGCCCCTTTCACTTGGAAAATATTATGAAATTCTTTAGTTTCTGTTCATTATTTCCCCAACGGTATTACACATTCAACTAAAACTTGATATATATGAATACATCAAATGCATGCTCAGGTCAAGTTTGAATTTGGTCATGGTTCAATGATTTTTGTCAGAGTTATGCCCCTTTCATTTTGAAAAAAATATGAAATTTTCAGTTTCTGTTTATTATCTCCCTAATGGTATTACACATTCAACTCAAACTTGACATATGCATACGTCAAACAAATGTGCAGGTCAAGTTTGAATTTGGGAATTGGTTCAATGATTTTTGGCAGAGTTACGCCCCTTTCACTTTGAAAATTATATGAAATTTTCAGTTTCCTTTCATTATCTCCCCAACGGTATTACACATTTAATCAAACTTATAAAATAGATAAGTCAAAGGAATGCACAAGTCAAGTTTGAATTTCGTCATGGTTCAATGATTTTTAACACAGTTATGCCCCTTTCACTTTAAAAATAATATGAAATTTTCAGTTTCTGTTCATAATCTCCTCTAGGGTATTACACATTCAACTCAAATTTGACATATGGAAACGTCAAAGAAATGGGCAGGTAAAATGCGAATTTTGTCATGGTTACATGATTTTTGGCAGAGTTATGCCCCTTTAACTTTGAAAAAAAGGAAGTTTTCAGTTCCCATTCATTATCTCCCCTAAAGTTGTAAAATATTCAACTCAAATTAAAGATATGGATATGTCATAAGAATGCATTGGTCAATTTCGAATTTGGTCATGGTTTGATGATAGCTGACAGAGTTATCACTCTTGAACTTTAAAAAAAAAATCAGAAATTTTAAGTTTCCGTTCATTAGACTCCACAATGGTTGTACACATTCAACTCAAATTTGACATATAGATACATCTTAGGAATAAGCAGTTCAAGTTTGAATTTGGTCGTGGTTCAATGATTCTGGACAAAGTTATCTCTCTTGAATGTTGGAAAAATTTTGAATTTTCAGTTTCAACACTCATACTTTTGTGGAAATGTATGTAACCATTATTTTAGCTACAAATATGGAATATGCAATTTACAAAAGGTTAACACTGAATAGTTTCAGAACTTTGTATAAAAATGGTTTGTGTTAACATTGAATAGTTTTAAGGGCTTTGAACTTGAAATGAAAAAAATAATTTGTGCAAACAAATTTGGAATGAAATATCAACATATAAAATTTTGACTGCATGCGGGGGCATCCGTGGCGTGACAACACATTTCTAGTTTACAAAATGAACAGACCCTGAGGCCCCTTTACAATTTTGACAAAAAATGCCCTGTTTGTTAAGTCTACTTGATTAAGACTAGAAAAGATATGTGTTTATATTAGGATGTTTATATTAGATCTTTCACAAAAACCTGAAGTAACCATTGTTTGTTGTTTTCTTTTGTCAGGGTTTTCAACAGACCATTTTAGACAGTATGAGGACCCTAATGCTGGGAACAGGGTGTACCTTGTCAGTAAGTCGGGCATTCAATACAATTGCCCGGTAGATAATTATGCCACATCAGTAACACGACTCTTCTGTCATACTCCAGAGTAAGTAAACATCCACAAATTATAGTTGAGTACTGTGGAATTAATTAACAGGAAACTCATAGGAACATTATGTGTTTTTTTACTAATTGATCCTAGATTCTTATATAATTTAACCAATAAAAGGAATAAATATCTTATAAACAAACAATGTATAGCAAACATCATTATAAAACACCTTATTACATGCACCATGGTTAAAATGATGTTTTTGTTATATTTCTTAAATTCAAATAATATTTTTGATAATTTTTCTCGTTCATTATACGTATTTTCAGGTGTTTAAAGCCTACATTGAATATTTCAGAGGCATGAAAGAGGAGGATCATTATATCAGAGTCGTTGTCGACGGAGTTCCTAGCCAAATATGTCAGGGTAAAGACAAGTCTGTTTTTTGCAGTCACAGGGTATATATTACTTTATAATACTGTATGTTTGTAACGTCATTTTACATTGGATAATCGTGATGTTTATATAGTTTTATATACACAGCAGCTGTCGATTCATGAAGAATTCTTAATTTTTTCTATAAAAATGATGCTTGCTATATTATAAATTCGTTACTAAGATTGTTGACAGGTTATATGGCCGTATATAAATGGGTGTTTGCAATATAACCCTCACCTAGAGGCTTGGGCTATATTTAGAAATAGCTATATGTATAGGGCCATATAACCTGTCAACGATCTTTATAAATAATAAATAATATAGGGGTATATAATTTTTTTTGGGGGGTGGGGGGGGGTAAAACTTATTCAATTATCAAGTGCAATACTTTTGAAACGCACTCATTGACAGTACCTGATAGCATGAGTTACCAGCACTTTTTCTATTTTGAAAAAAAAAATATATAGGAATTAAAGCTGCACGCCCTCAGACGAGCCAAATATTTCAAGAAAATCAATATTGAGAAAAATGTACTAAAATTTTAAGAAAGGTAAAACATTCAAGATCAATGTTATATTTTTCATATTATATTATATACAGTTTCAGACTGATTTTGCAGAATTTATTACCATATTTCTTCTGGGCTTCTAACACAGTAAGGGCTTTAATTCTTTTGCATAATTATGTTGATGACTTTTTAGTAATTTTTATGCTCCCCCAAAAATTTTGGGAGAGCATTTAGTTGCCAGGTTGCCCATCCATCTGTCATTCCTCCATACGTACGTATGTCTCGAAATCATGTTCGCCCATTACTTTGTTATTTAAAGTCAGATTTTACAATTATTTCACATAAATGATCACCATATTGAGACAACGTGTCGCGCGCAATATTTTGGTCGCTATCCTTGCAGCAAAATCATGTCATTCCATAGTTTTGTTATTTGAAATCAGATTTGACAACTATTTCACAGAAATGATCACCATGTTGAGATGACGTGTCGCGCACAAATTTGGGTTGCTACCTTGAAGGTCAAGGTCACAGCACAGGGCCTTTTTACCCTCTATTACAGGGGCCGGTATAGGGCTGCTTCCCCAAAGAAAATTTCTTTAAAATCATGCAGTTTTCCCCAAATATTGAATTTACATCAAGTTTTTTCTTCCCCTTTTGCAAATATACCATGTAATTTTTCCCCAAAATTAAGGGCTGGGCTGCTTCCCCAACTTGTGAAAAAAAGCCCTGCAGCATGACCTTGCAACAAAATCGTGTCAGGCCCATAACTTTGTTATTTGAAGTTGGATTTTACAACTATTTCACAGAAATGATCACGATATTGAGACAACGTGTGGACTGCGCAACATTTGGGTCGCTACCTTGAAGGTCAAGGTCACAGCATGACCTTTCAGTAAAATTGTGTCCGGCCCATAACTTCTTTATTTAAAATCAGATTTTACAACTATTTCACAGAAATGATCACCATATTGAGACGATGTGTTGTGCCCAACATTTGAGTCGCTACCTTGAAGGTCAAGGTCACAGTACAACCTTGCAGCAAAATTGCGTCCGGCCCATAACTTTGTTATTTGAAGTCAATTTATAAACTATTTCACAGATATGATCACCATTATAATTGAGAGGATGTATCATTTGCAACATTTGGGTTGTTTTTACACTTTGAACTTTGTCTGTGACATAACTGTGACACTATAAGAGGTATAGCTTCATGTGTCCAAAACCTATTCGGGGAGCATCACCCAGTCCAACGGCTCTTGTCTTGGATTGTAATATGTAAATAACTTTATTTGTTCACCTCTTGAAATTTTACTTTAAAATATATTTCCAAATTTTTCGTGAAAATTAACATGAATATGGAGTTAATTTATGTCAAGTGAGTGATTTTACCCATGCAAAAGGTGGCATTTACTCTGAACTGATCAGTTGAAATAAATAAAGTTCTATCAATTCTTGTGGCTTCATAATTTCCATACACAGTACATAATATTGCTAAGTTATATAAATATGCGATTCATTTTTCCCATTAATTTCAATTTTTACCACTTTGAAAATAGGATGTTGTATTGTTAATTGATTCCTGGAAGTTGGATTTATTCTCTTACTTACTTGGCATTTATTTATCATATAAGTACCTAATCTCGCACCCAACCTCTTCTCAAACCTTTCATTCATGTGCTGTTTATTTTTTTTCTAGAAGTATCTATGATGTTATCAATTTGCGTGCATAAATGTTAGGTTTCTGACAGACATGTCTGCTGCTGTTACATGAAAACATAGCATAGGAAAGGATATTGACATTACCGTATATATTTTTTTATTTAGTGTAATTTCATACAAATTGCTTTTACCTTTGAAAGTCCTGTAGATACACCATTAACTAATTGTGAAAATGAATAGAAGAAAAAAAATCTTAAAAGCAGGTACCTGTATCCTGTAGAGTACTTCAATGTCAGTGATAATCATAATTGACTGTCACTTCATTGACTAAACGAAACAGTAGAATTTCATAGATTCTTGGATAGGTTTGAGATTAGGTTCCTTATATCAAGAGGCCATGTCAGTTTTACAGAAGAGGGTCATGCAAATAGAGCTGTTTTAATTGTATAATTTCAGCCAAATTTTACAGAAATGTTAAATAAAGAGTAAAGTGTACATATGTAAAGAATATTTATAAAGATATATTTTTATTTACACTAAAAGACCTCCTGAATGCTTAGAGGTTTGAGGACTGGTTTGTCCACGATAATAATATCTTCCATATTTGGTCAAGGTGGTTGTTCTAAAAAATTAATTCAAACATTTTTGCTCATACAGCCCACAGTCAAAATAGATTTGTACACTTTTACAGGTGTGTAACTTTTTTCTGATTTTTTTTTATATTTGGAAGGAACATTAAGAAATCTTCTTACTTTGGATGTAGTTAGAGGTTAGTTAGGTCAATATCAACGGTGCTAAAACCTGTTTTTACACTTTTGCCCATACAGTCTTTATTAATACCCTTCTGCAAAGCAGATAGGGGATTTTAGGAATGGCCTCCGTCTGTCTGCCTGTCCATGCGTCTGTAATACTGTCAAGTCCGCTCCATAACTTTTAAACAGATGAAATTTTTTTGAATAACTTGGCAGTGTTATTGCCCTTGACTTAGTAAAAAAATGCAATTTTCAACCTAGTTAAAGAAGTTTTTTACCAATAGTCATGAAACTTAACAGAAATTTTGCTCAGCATGTGAAATTATGCACATGGGGTTTTGCTTGTAGTTTTTATTTTGTTTTGTCAAAGTTAATTCCCTTGACTTACTAAAAATTTGCAATTTTGGTCAGCATGTGTTGTTATGCATCTGGGTTTTTGCTTATGGATTTTTCCAGTATTTCTAGAGTTATTGCCCTAGTACTAAGGCTAGAGTTATTGCCCGTGACTTAGTAAATCAAAGCACTGAAAGCACTGGAGGGTCGCTTGCGCTGACAAATTTATATGACATTATATTGCTGGTGATCACTTGAAAGGCCAAATTTCCTGTCCTTTTGCAACTTTTTTTAAAGGGTCAAGTCATATTCAAGTGGAAATGACTGAGTACAAAGGAAAGTGCAATATTTTGCCATATGATTTTATTCAGGGAGATTTATCATTGACATCCAACAATTACAACACAGTTTATCAAAAGTTCTAAAAACCAGTACTTTTTCTCAAGTGGTTCAGTTGAGATTGAAAAACCAAATTGCTTTATATCCTCAAAATAATACTTTAAATTGGATAAATTTTAAGAGTACACTACTGACAGAAGCAGAAGCTGGAAGTAGATAACCAAGTCCTCTATTAACAATGACTAAGCATTGATAATTTCATCTACTTATAAGGCATATGAAAAACATGCTCATTCTTGGGGATTATAGTTATTATCAATCTGATATTCAAGTTATCATCAACCCATGTGCATATAGACTGGATAGTGTTCAAACAACTCGAAAAGAAAATGGTTGAAAAATCTTTCTGTTTCTATGCATACTAGTAATAAGTGTTCCATCAGGGATAAACTTTCAGTGATTGTGAATACATGACTTATCAAAGTCACAATTTCATCCAGAGAGACTCATGAAATTCTCACAAAATAATAAGTAAAGTATGATTAGTTAAAACTAGAACTATCACTAAATGTGATTAATACCCCCACAAGACTGCTTTGGACATTAGGATGTAACAGAATACCTTGTAAAAGAATTGAAATAGAGTTATGTTTGTGGGCAATTAAAGATAGTAAGTTGTGGTTCTTGTATGTTGCATTTCCTTTCAATGTGGTTGACCATTGATGAAGTTTTATTGAATTACTCTATAATAAGTCCAGAAAGACAAGGAAAAAGATCAATAACTCTATAAATACTGCAGATTGAGAAATGGTTATTGTACACTGCACTTTCTCTCATTTCGCTTGACCATTGTATGAATTTGTATTGAATTCCAACTACATGTACTAGTTTTCAAGTTATGCACTGGACAAAAGTAATTAAGGGCACTAACTGTAGGGTCATTCCTGCAAAGTTTTATTACTGTGCAGTCTTTGGTTTCGGAGGAGATTTGTTTAAAGAAATTTTTGACGACCCACGACAACTGATGGTGGGGGGATCACAATAGTTCACCATGAGCACGTTGTGCTCAGGTGAGCTAAAAAGTAATGATCAAAGTATAAGTTTGTGGATGACCTCGGCAATGCCATGACTGTAACAATACCTCTATTTTTTAAAAAGAAAAAGTCGAGCTAAAAAGGGGCATAACAGCATCAAAAATAATTTATTGAAACTAAATCTGCCTTTTGATACTAACATGGCAAATATCAACTCACTTCATTTCCTTCATAAGTTGTCCTGCAGAAATCAATTGAACACCATAACTTATAACATGCTTTTCAGTAAAAAATGACATTACTTTTAGATTATTTCACAATAAAGTATAATTTCAAAAGTAGCCAGACCCTTATTTGAATGAGGATGAAAAGCCTATAAACAAACAGAAATT